CACTGGCCATCATAGGTTTGACCAGCCGCGACCTCGATGACTTTGCTATTGGTCTTGGTACCAACGGCTTTAGGGATACCTCCAGCGTATCCATTGCATCCAAGGGCAACAGGGAGGAGGGCCGTGGCCGCAGCGAGGATGCCTGCAAACTTCATGGTAAAGGATGGTGTTCGGGTTGAGAAAAAAGTGATCGAAAGCGGAAGCTGGAATAGACGAAATGATAGAAGGAATGCTACTGGAGCCTTGGATATCGGGATGCTTCTGGCTGAAGGATAGAACCTTAACCGGTGGGATGTTCGCCGTTACTTATAGGGAGTTGAACCCTTTCTCTCCGCTCTATCCATAGCACGCTCAGGCACCTTCGCCATGCCTTCTGCACTGCTAACCTCGCACCCTCAACTCAAGTCGTCTTACCACATTAGGACTTTCCTCCTTCATCTTTCCACGCTCATTCGCGGACTTCTGTATCGATCCTGCCGAACGTCTTTCCGCCCGAGTCGCGCCATTGCCAAGACTTGTTACGGAAGCTTGGTGTAGAAGGATGCGCTTTGGAAGCGCACATCGGATAGTACCACGTGGTTTTGGTATGGTGATTGCACAAGTGAAACGCCCAGCAAACTCCGCCATGCGTTGGCACTTGCATTATTGGGGCGACAGTGACATGCCATAGCGCAATGCTTAGCGCTGCAACCCTCCTCTCATTTCCTCTTCCATCATTTACTTCCGCCAACTAGCATTTCGCCGGTTCTGTCCTGTGTGTCCGCTCTTGGTTTATTGAGGTACTATCGATAGCGGAAATACCACACGACTTGGTGTTTCCAGAGGCTTACGTTCCCCGCAGTATGACGGAGAATAGCGGAAAGTTGTGCGCTCTGAAGCTGTCCTGGTCACCGATATCAGCAAACCATCACCAGTAGCATGCCAGCCTTCCGACTCTGCTAATTAATCTACGGGCAACTGATCACAGTCAAATACTGGCTTTGACCCTTCCTCCCTAGAGACACCGCACGGATACAGCCTAGAGAACTGGGCTAGCGATGGGAATCCCGCTTGCGGCGGGCCCTGGCAAACTAGGAAACACCGTCAGGAACGGTGTCTTGGTATGCATAAGACAACTCGAACTGTCGTTCATGGGAACACTGCGAAGGAACCGGCTCTCAACGATTCAAAAATTCACGCTGTTCATTGACGACGTCGCTTAGAATCGGCCTGATGAGCAATACTTTCTCCGCAGCTCACCTGGGCATGTTGCACGACTGCGACTGTATGAGCAAGACCATGACGCAGTAATAGGCTGCGGAGATTATTTATCAAAGGCGCAGGATCCTGATGGGTACCGAAGGATGATGTCCTCCACCTTGTGGATACTGATCAGTAAACAGGTGAGAATTCCAAGACCAGGAGTTTCATGCGTTAATCAGAAGGACTCAAGGGCGTCGGAAAGACCGATCGATTGCAGAGTGGAAGATACATTCTTCGTTAACTCGTGCAGTACACCACGCGATACAAGCCAAGCTCTTTACTTGCAAGGCGCGGGATAGCTACGCTGACTGGTGGACCTCGGGAGTGTTCACGAAACGTTAATATGGGGTACATACTGGAGTACATGGTGGCGTGCATGCAGAGCGCATCGGCAGTGCGACGGCTCTGAAAACCCCGGATTTCGGAGAAAGCACTGCATCCTTTAGGAGAGGGGATGGTTGGGGTGTATAATTGCTCAGGTGTGGGACAATATGACAGACGCGCGAGCGATTCCACCAATCAGCGTCATGCACCTCCGCCCTACACAATTCTGCCGTTTACGACTGTCTCTCGCTGGCAGGCACCTTCAACTTGATGCTGAGTTTGCACTTTCCATTGTCATCCAAAGCGCACTTACTCAATTCGTGGGTACCCAACTTGTTGTGAAAAGTGGCGCCGCTTGGGCAGTGGCACAGGTGCGTGCTTTAGCGGGGTCAACGCACCCAAGAACCTCCAGCGACTCTTCTTCATCCTTCCTTCTAAGACATCCGAAGCTGAACGTATTCCATTTCCTTCGTCAAAATCACAAGAAAAAGGGTCTTCATCGAAACAAAGCCACAACTAGAGAGGACACCGAGTGGAGGGAGAGCCCCCAACCTCACCTCTACAGTCACATGCCGCGCGACAATTCATTTTCCAAACGTACTTCAATGTCTCGTGTCAAAGGATTCTACTAGAGACCCAAACGCTGCGTTGGCATTCGGAAAGGAGGAGATTAAAGGCATCGTTATCCGGTTACCCGTTGTGCCCAGAAACGCACATGTCCGCCAATTCAAGACCAAATTCTAACCCCAAGCTCGGCGCAGGGGTCAGAGTGCAGCCTTACTTTGTGGGCCCGCAGTAATCCTAACTTTGGTATAGCAGCTTTGGTTCAGGGCCGCATTGAGCCAGGAAACCGTAAGCATCCACCCTCACCCATCCACTATTGACGACCAGCCTCATTTTCGTGATGTTTGCAGCCGAGTTGTCGCTGTACGCAGCGCGTGGATTAGATACTACCACCAGGGATTTGAGCGGCGTAAAAAAGTGCCTTTTCCCTAGTGTCGTCTTGCGCAGCCTCGACTTTACATTATACCTTCGCGTTCTGTTGAGATAAGGACGAATCGAGGGACAGCAATCCCATGGTTCGTGAATACCACGCCTTCTACGCACCGCATACCCACAAAAACCAAATTGGAAATTGTACAGACACGGAATGCACTCGAACTCTCATCCACGGTACTCATGATGCGGAGTTTCATGGTCATGCAGAATCATCCAGTCAAACAATCGTCTTCTGTGCGCACGTCGATTGATTGTAAAACAACACTCCTCTTCTCACACCTATTGAGACATTGGCCAGGTATTGACACCAAAAATATGCCATCAAACTTCACATCATCCCTCTCAAAGTTCGTGCCTGTCTTCTTTGAGAGTCCAGTAGGTCACTGACAATACACAGTAACCCTGACCATTCAGTATCCAGCCTACGAGAGCTGAGGACGTCGCATATAGCAGCCCTTCCAACTGCATCCCAGGATGAAACATGCTGCATTTGCCTACATCTATACGGTTCTTCTCACGAAGCCGTCACTGTGCTCATAACAGGCTGCTACCATCGCTTTGGCCGCAAATGTCTCGCAGACTACCTCGACAGCGAAAGCCCACGTAACAACAGTTGTCCCCAATGTCGACGAGAATGGTACAAACGACCACCTGCCTGGACGGCGCCACGAGACGTCAATGTCACGGAGAGTTTGCTAGCTTTGACCTTACCACAAGAGCCGGCGCTAGTCGAATCACGAGCGAGAGCTCATCGAACGCGAAACATCTTGGAGCAGGAACGGGCTTCGAACAACGGAGTCATCAGTAGCCATTTAGATGAGATCTTCCGGAGACTGGATCTGATTCAGAACATCAGCAGCGACCAGCACGCTTCCACGGCAGATACGCGCGTGCGTCTTCAAGCGATTGTGCGCCGCGCCTCGAGACTTTACCGAGAACTTCAGTCTGCACATGAGAATGGTAGAGGTCCGCAGACGTCATTTAACGAGCGTGAAGCATTGTTAAGACAACGGGAAAGAGAATTAGAGCAACGTGAGAGTGAGATCAGACGGCAAGACAGAGTCACTAGGGAACTTGACTTCCTCAGACGAATGGACTTGGGAAGAAGACTTGGACCCGGGCTTTGCGATGCCCAGTACTCTATGGCGAGCAGCGCAGATACTAGGGTGACATCTTCACCCACGGTTCCTACGCCAGATGAGAGCCCAGAAACCGCCAACCCGTCTGCAAACACTAGGGAGGATGCTCACCAGCCACCTGCATCACCACAATCCGAAGACCCGATAAGCGCTCGTCAATACAACGCGTACCTACAGCACATCAGTCTGTCAAACGACGACCCGCTCATGATTCCGGAAAACCGAGAATCTTCTACACCTGTCATACGTACAGAAAGGGATGAGTCTGTCGCATCCAGAGACGACGTGTGGACACGATCTTACGAGTTGATAAACCGTCCCCACCGCAGATTTCATGGCATTGACCATACCGAAGCTTTTGGACGAATGGCCAGCGCCTTGGAAAACTATTGTGAAAGCTTAAATTTTGTGTCGACACAGCCAGCTACCGCCCCCACATCAACGCCTCCCCCGGTATCTCTTCGACAGCCGCAACATCGCACGAGCCCTAATAGCGTTTCGAATAGACAAGAAGTGCCGGTAGATGCCGGGCCTTTTGTATCTCTCGATCCACGGAGAAATGCTGGCTACTGGCGGACAAGACTGAACTGAAGGGCGGCTTCACAAGTTGCGCGGAAGACTGCATAGCGCAACTACGCTCCGTGAAAACAGATATTGAAGCTTTGCCAGTATTTATCGTGATGGGACTATATTCAGTGACATCACACGACGAATGGGAGAACGGAGCGTCGTCAGAGAAATACTCCACTTACTGCCCGCGTAGATTCTTAATCGGAAGAGGCTATGTCTTATATTATACGTACATGTGTACAATAGCGTCTGTGTTAGTCACTTCCCAAATTGTAATACATTGTCAGCGGTAACGCGACATGATTTCTGACTGACTGCAGTGACGCGAAGGAAGAACGCACACTTCGTGCCGATTTGCGCAAACTTCAAAAAGACTTTATTGCGCAATCTATTATTGCTTTCTTGTTGTATGTTGCTAACAATGACGAGAATTTGTGAGCTCTTCTCCATTTTCAACCAAGGTACAATAGACAATAGTATACAAACTTTTCATCGGCCAGTCAAAGCGTCCACACAACTCACCTTCACTACATGAATTTTCTGCCAACAATGACGTTTTCTCCTCGCTCACTTACTATTGTCTCTCGCTCTCAATAGTGCCAAGCTTTGTTACAGCCAAAGTCTTTTCTGATAACTCTAACTCTACTTCCAACTCTTTACTCCTTACTCTTTACTCTTTACTCCTTACTCCTTACTCCTTACTCTTTACTACCAACACACATCAACATGATCGCAGGTCTCGATGGTATCGGTGCGGATATCGCTGGTAACGAGTTGATTGGCGCTGGCGCCATCTCACCTCTACCATTCAGTGCACCCTCATCGCCTGACCTTACACCTACGTCACCAGCCTACGCGCCCACGTCGCCAGTATACACACCCACAACCCCTACATTTCCGGCATACCCGACATCCCCGGCGTTTTCACCCACCTCACCGGGATACACACCCACATCCCCCACGTTCCCAGCAAACCCGCTATCCCCAAACTTTTCACCCACTTCACCGGCATACTCTCCCACAACTCACACGTTCCCAACATCCCCGACATACACGCCCTCCACACCACCACCCCACGGCAGCCCAGTCCCACCCTGGCGCGAAGAGTCCTATGCTGCTCCAGTGCAGAACCAGCAGCACAATCCCATCGTCATCGACTCTGATTCCGACGACAACGCAGGCTACGCCGTCCAGTTCCAGAACTTCGAGAACTTCAGACGCCATGTCGCTGATGTGCGGAGTCGAGCAAGAGAGACGCGCAGGCCGAGGAGTATCAGAACGAGACGGGCCGCTACTGCTGCTGCTGCTGCTGAGAGGGAGCGTGTCAGTGAGACCACCGCTGTGAACGGTGGGACTGGTACCGCCAGGTCTCGCGCGCTGAACCGTCTTCTGGGTAACGGAAGGCACCCGTTTCAGCCTTCTGAGTACACCGCTAGCGCTGGCGCTGGCGCGTCTCCTGTTCCCATGACCGAGATGTTGGAACAGCGCAGCGAGCCGCAGGAGCGACGTCTAGGAAGCGAGCTACGACGCGCAAGCAGGTTCGATCAACCCGCCTCGCGAACTGCTAACCACGCGAGCGCCCGCCGAGTTCGAGCCCCAACACCATACAGACAGACTCCGAGCCCAAACAACTCAGACACGCCGATAGACCTTACCGCAGATGAGCCTACCGAACTCCCCGCTATTCAGTCAGGTTCTGCGCGCGAAGCTGTTCGCAGCAGGCAGCTCGATCGCCGCGAAGCTTCCTTGTCGCGTCGCGAGCAGGTGCTTCTTGAGCGGCAATTAGCGCTGATTAGGCGGGAGGAAGCGGTTTCGACGCAGGAGGACAAAGCAAACGAGATGATGAACATGTTGAGGAGGCATAGAGAGGAGCTGGAGGAGATGGTTAGGAGGCACAGGGACCCGTATTGGGAGTGACTTTTACACCGAGACCGTTGAGAGAGAGGAAATCATGACAAACATCAGACTGTAGTTGATCTCACCGTATGGGAAACCAGGCTTGGTCCCAACGAAGCAGCGAATGCGAATGAAAACTTGAAATTGAACTCTTGATTGCTTGTGGTATACATACAGATCCCACTTCGTCGAGCCATACTTGTAGACCAACACGCATGCCGACAGGTATTCCCATTTCCTTTCTCTACGCCATAATCCCTGTTGTTATCGTAGACTCGAGAAACAAACGTCGGGAAAAAGCTCTTGCGTTCAGAATACACCACCGGAAAGGAAAGGTAGGCTCGAAGCCAAGCATCCCGAACGCCGAGCGCAGCTCTAGACTGGCGCGCTGCAGTAATATCAAAGAAAGAAGAAAACGACCCGGTATATAATCGCCGTTGCAACGCCAGTGAAATGTTGCCCTCGCACACACCGTATATACACACAAACGGCGGACAGGTTACTGAAGGAAATGGATGAAGAAAGTCGTCATCGCCGACGAGGAATAATCGTGTTCGCGTGCATGAGGTGCGTAGCCAGCCCCATGATTCCCTGCCGATCCAGCCACCCAGCCCGAGAGGGAAAAGTCGAAATTTAGTTTTGGTAACCCGAGTTGCAATCCCCTGGGTGTGAGGATGCAATAATGACGTAACGCCAAGCGCCGTCCATGCGTTGTGACAGAGACGACGATGCGTCAAGGAGTAGGAGAGGAAGGAGAAGGTTGGGTAGATTACAAGGTCGTACGGGTAGAGCATCGTGATCGTCGGAGCTGCGCATGCCCCACGCTTTGCGTCATTGCCATGATGCAGAGTCATGACAATGGCGGTGTACACGTGTAACATGGTCAGGGAGCTTGTTTACTCCCAGTTACCTGACAACGTGAGTGACTGTCTCAGTACTTTGAAGGATACCGCCCGTTCTCTTGATCGTCGGGGCTGGAGTTCCTTTGGGGTTGGTATACGAACCGGTTCATCATCTGGCCTTGCTGCATCGGCATCATGTGTACGCCGTTGGGTTGCATCTGGGCGATGCCATATGGGTTTTGATGGCTAATATCGCTGCCGAGGAAGTTGTTCATAGCGGCGCCATGGAGGCCCTGAGCCTGCGACACTGGGCAGTCCTTGTGAGCTAGAAGAAGAGTCTTGAGGTTGACAATCTCTTCGCGAAGCTGAGTGACGGTAGCAGAGAGCGCGTCGTTCTCTGTACTAAAAAGTTCGACTTTAGCTTGGAGATTGGCCAACCATTGCTTCTTGCGCTGTCGGCACTTGAGGGCAGCGACCCTGATACACGTTAGTAGCTTGAAGTTGGGATGGAGAGAAAAGACATACCTATTGCGCTCGAGGAAGTTCTTGCGCTTCTCCTCGTCGGTCATCTTGCGGCCCTTGCTGTCGTACTCCTCCTCCTTGATGTTGTTCTCGTCATCAGAGTCGCCGTCGTCCATGTCGTCGCCCATGGGCTGGTTGGCGTTGCTCTTCTTTCTTGAGTTCTTGGGGCCGTCTTCAGCTTTGCGCTTGTTTCCGGCAGCTTGTTTGCCATTAGCGGCGCCCTTCTTCGCACGTGACCGTGTACCAGTCTTGTTTTGCTCACTCTGGCCGCTCTCTGAGAAGTCACCGGTCTCTGCAGATTGAACGCTGTTGATGGAACCCTTGGTGTCACGGCGGCCATGGTTGGCGTTGACGGGTTGGACGGGCATGTGCCCGGCATTCATCGATTGCTGTTGGGGAGCCATCGAGTAGGGTGGCTGGTTGTTGCGTGCAGCGCCGTTTTGGCTGGCAAAGGACAGCAGGTCGTTAGCGGCACTGCTGACGTCATGGTTTGGATATGGCTCGTTCTGGGCGCGCTGTTGTGGCTGCTGCGCCTGCTGGTAGTTGTTGTTAGGGCGGTCCATTCCTGCGGTCGCGGCTTCGGGCTGCGACGTGGGCGCGTTGGAGGTGGCTTTGTTGTTGTTAGCTTGGTGTTGAGCAGCGGCGCGCAGAGCAGACTGCTGGAAGTCGGCAGTACCAGGTGTCACGCCAGCACTTTGGAGATTGAAGATGGCTTGGGTGTTCGGGCTAGGAGCTGGGAACATGGAACCACCGCCGCCAGGAGTAAGGCCGGTGCGGAGAGAGGATTCGTTCGGGGTTGGGAAGCCTCGGAATGACTCGCTAAAATAATCTGTCTGTCCAGTCGGCCCGCTCAGCATAGCAGGGCTCAAGGGTCCTGCGCGTAAGCCCTGCCACCCCGGTGTGATGCCCGGTAGGGGTGATGGTGACGTAATGTTCGCAACGGGCGGAAGAATAGGTCGGCCTCCAGGTGTCTGTAGGTTGCCAGACTCGCCGCCAAAGGACTGCTCGAAGACGTTTGGCTCGAGCGAGAAGGGGTTGTGGACGGTGTTGAAGTAGTCGGGAGTATCGCCAGTGGTCGAGGGCGCGGGCTTTGGTGGAGGCGCCAACGGCTGGGCATTGGTGGTTGCGGGTTTGGCAGCGTCTGCGTTGGTGGCCGCTTCGGTGGTCGCAGCTGGCGGTGGGTTAGCATCGTGTGCTGGTGGACGAGATGGATGCAAAGCGACAGTTGACAGTCGACGGGGATGTTGGGACGGGACTACTTACGCTGTACCTTGGGCGACGACTCGGCCTTTACTGGCTCAGCTGATCACGGTGTTAGTAATGCTTGCATGTGTGATGATGTGACGGCGAGGATGACGACGATGCATGCGCGCGCGACGCAGGCAGGAAAAGGGGAGGCGTGGGAAGCAGCAGCGGTGAGGGCGTCACGGGGCAGCAGCGACGGGGGCATACACACCTTCAGTCTTGGTGACGGTAGGAAGAGATGTTTTGCTGTCCTTGGGAGAGGACATCTTGGAGGACGGGGAGGAGGTTCGAGCGGTTTGGGTTGCGGCTGCCATACTTTGGGGTGGTGACGTAGGGGTGGTGTCCTGGTCGATCGCTTGTGGTACCGGGCCTTCCCTCTCTTCGCTCGCTCGCTCACACCCACGCGATTCGGCTTCTCTCGACGGTTTTGGGCGCACACGGGCGACTCGAGCACAATAGCACCTGTGCTGTTCGGCGGAGCTGTCAGCGCACGGAATTACAGGTGCAGGCACGATGCGACGGGCTGGGTGCAGGCAGACGACGGGCGCAAAGGGCTGTCGCAGACGCTGGGAACGTGGCAAAGTCGGCAGCGCAGATAACAACAGCGGCGGCAGCGGCAGGGCAGGGCAGGGCGACACGACTACGTACCTCAGCAAAAGGAATCGAGCGCGGCAGATGCGGGGTCGAGCCGTCTCAATCCGATGAATATCGATATTGTTGACCGCCGGCTCTGTCGTCGCAAAGCTGGTGTCTGCTTGTCAAAACCAATAGTGACGTCAAGCCCCTGTGGTGACGCTCGCAGCCGTCGCAGTCTCTAGGCCTACACTCGCGCTGACTCTGCACGACTCTAGGCAATCCGGGGCTGTGGAAGCGCGTGATGGATGTTCCTGATCTCAATGAGGCTCAAACCGGCGTTGACGGGGATTGTGCTCGTGGTGACGATGACAGTGAGGCGTTCGGCGATGAGGTCAGAGGACAGGACGAGCGAGCAATTTCTGGGAGTGACGCAGCTGTGCCAAGCGCATAACGTGATTTCTTGGGTTCGTAATCAAACCCGGCCGCTAGTCCGCTCTGAGGGCCAATCACTGCAGCCGAGGCCCCACCGCCTTCGCTGGTCCGCCGATCCGCAGCCCCTTTTGGCTCGCCTGCCACGAGACGCTTTCCGGCACTGGTCCCGTCGAAGCACCCCAGCCTTCCATTCACTGCAAGGACTATTCCCGCCCACCGCATTTTCCTCTCCTCCAGCACGCTGCGATAAGACACACGTAGGACGTTGATAATGCATCGTTCACAATGACCGCATCGACGACTGCTACCACTTCCATCCCTGCCTCTCCACCCGCAGGGAAGGAACCTCGAAGCTACTGGAGCCGACACTCTGCAACGGCCAGCGGATCTGATTCTGCCAGGTGCCGGTCCCGTTCCAGACCTCGATTCACGCATGTTTCGCCGATCTACATCGTCTACTCGCATCGGCAAAGTACCAGCCCTCGCGCGGACTTTGCAACCGCTGTCCCAATCACACCATGCCAAAGTTTCATCGCCTTCTTTTTCCCGATGCTCATCGAGATCGTGATGTCCATGTTGTTTAATGCAACAAGCGTGGAATACAGGAGTCGGATGTTTGGCATTCTGTAATCAACAAGTGGGTGGCAGGGCGATGCCAGCCTCCACACCCTAAAGACGTATCACGAACGTCAGGGACGACGGCTATTCCGCTTCCCCGTACCTTCCTGCTTCTTGCTGCTTGGTCGCATGGGTCTGGCTCATGCGAGCAACCAACTATCCGCACGTAGCGCATGAGCGTGCAGCAGGTGTAGAGCAAAGCTTAATTGTGACGTAGTTATTGACCTTTGATCTCCACTGGCGTACAACACTGCTGTAGAGCCATCTAGTCTCGCCAGACTTGCAGACTGAGGGATACACTTCTGCTTCTTCACCATCAGAGGTGTTCTGCCTAGCTTCTGTTTGAAACTCGCACTATTCGTGATGCTTTTGATCGCTACTACGACACCAATCGGAACCAGCTCCATATACATCAGAACATGCTTTTACTTCCAATAACCCATAAAATTTCATGGCTTAGAATCTTGTCAAATACATTCGAATACTCTGATAGGTCTGAAGTGTAATTGAAACGGCATTGAGGAATGAGTAATATTGATCGAAGGCAAATCGACTTCCAAGTACATGACAGGTCGAAATCGTCGATGTGGAAGGTTTCTTCTTTCCTATCGGCTGGATACAAGTAAAGAGAAAGGTATTTCTGGAAACACATGAAGCAAAAGCCAAACATACCTTGCTTCAGCTAAATGTCGACGCACGAGATGTACATCTCTGCAAGGTATGGCATAGCACCCAGTATACAATATTTTCCTCTTTCCATAGATGATGTCGAAGAATCGTCACACA